TTCATATGTCTATTGGCTGTTTGTATGTCTTCTTAGGGGCAGTATTTTTTCAAGTCCTCTGCCCACTTTTTAAATAGATTGATATTGTTGTTTTTGAGTTGTATGAGTTCCTTATATATATTTTGGATATTAGTCCCTTGACAGAGGCGTTGTATGCAAAAATCTTCTCCTATTTAGTTGGTTGCTTAAAATAAACCATTTTGAAATAGACCACAGCATTCTATACCTCCTAACAAGGCCTGCCCTTAAGAGAGATTATTGGTGTTTTATCAAGATCAGCTGCCCTGAGGGGGAATAAAAATACACAACTAATGACCTCTCTAGCCTTCCACTTACAGAGGGAAAATGCCCAGCTCTACCTGGTTCTATATTCTTCCACATAGGAAAAGGGAAATACCCAACTTTAGCCCGCTCTTGCCAACCTGTTCCACCTAAGGGGTGGGGAACAGGACTGAGAGCGCTTGTGAATTTTACAGTTCAGGGGCACAGGCTCGCAAAAACATAGAGACCTAATTGTAGGACTACAGACTCACACACACCCCCTGCCACACTTTATTGCCACATTACCAACAATTGTTTCTACTACAGCTCTGTTTACCCAGTACATCATGCCTGGGTATTATGAAAAATTAAAAGGCCCACTAAAAAGCAAAAAATACAGTAGAAGAAACCGAGCAAGCATCAGAATAAGACTCTGATATGGCAAGGATGTTGAAATAGTCAAACCAGGAGTTTAAAACAATTATGATTAATATGCTAAGGGCTCTTATAGATAAAGTAGAACAGGTGGACAATGTAAGCAGAGAAATAGGAACCTAAGAAAATGCTAAAAGGAAACACTAGAGATCTAAAACACTATAAAAGAAACAAAGAATGCCTTTACTGGGCTCATTAGTAGTCTGAATGCAGTAGAAGAAATAATCTCCACAATTCAGGATGAATTAATAGAACTTTCCAAAAAAGAAAAGCAATTAGAAACAAAACAAAACAAAACAAAAACAGAACAGGATATCTAAGTACTGCTGGACAACAGCAAAAGGTATAGCAAGGTATTTCCATGCATAATGAAAATGCCAGAAGAAAAAGAAAGAGAAATAGGAACAGAAGCAGTATTTGAAGCAATAATGACTGTGGATTTTCCCAAATTACTGACAGACACCAAATCACAGATTCAGGAAGTTCAGAGAACACTAAATAGGATAAATACAAACAAACAAACAAACAAACAAACAAAAAACTGCACAGGAATATTTTATTCAAATTACAGAAAATCAAAGATAAAGGAAAAATCTTGAAAGAAGCCACAGGAATAAAAGACCTTACTTACAGAAAAACAAAGATAAGAATTACTTCCAACTACTCCTTAGAAACCATGCAAGCAAGAAGAGAGTAGAGTGTAGGATTGCAATTTGCTGCACCTACATGGAAAATGGTATGGAGGTTCCTCAAAAAATTGAAAATAGAACTACTACGTCGCCCAGCAATCTCACTTCTGGATATTTATCCAAAGAAAACCAAAACACTGATTTGAAAAGATATATGAATTCCTATGTTCATTGCAGCATTATTTACAATAGCCAAAACATGTCTATCCATAGATAAATGGATAAAGAAGATGTAGTACATACAATGGAATATTACTCATTCATGAAAAAGAATGAAATCTTGCCATTTTTGACAACATAGATGGACCTAGAGGGTGTCATGCCAAGTGAGATAAGTCAGACAAAGACAAATACCAAATATCTTCGCTTACATGTAGAATCTAAAGAACAAAATAAACAAAATGAAAACAGACTCACAGATACACAGAACAAACTAGTGGTTGCAGATGGAAGGGAGACTTGAGTGGGGTGAGTGAAAAAGGTAAAGGGATTAAGGAGTACAAATTAGTAGTTACGAAATAGTCACAGGGATGTGAATTACAGCATAGCAAATATAGTTGACAATATCGTAATAATTATGTATAGTGCCAGGTGGGTACTACAGTAATCAGAGGATCACTTCATAAATTATATGTGTCTAACCACTACGCTGTATACCTGAAGCCAATATAAAATAATATTAAATGTCAACTCTAATTAAAAAAAGGAATGGTAGTACATATATACAATAGAATATTACATGACCATAAAATAGAATAAAATCTTACCATTTGTGACAATGTGGATGATCTTAGAGGGTATTTTGCTAAGTAAAAAAAGTCAGACAGAGAAGATAGATACCATATGATCTCACTTACATGTGGAGTCTAAAAAACAAAATAAACAAACAAAGAAAACAGCAACAGACCCATAGATACAGAGAACAAACGTTGTTTGCCAGATGCAGGGGGTTCAGGGACTGGGTGAAAAAGGTGAAGGGATTAAGAAGTACAAATCGGTAGTTACACAATAGTCATGGGTAATATAGTCAATAACACTGTAATAACTTTGTATAGTGCCTGGTGGATACTAAACTAATTGGGGAGATCATCTCCTAAATTATATAAATGTCTACTATGCTGCATACCTGAAACCAATATAATATTAAATGTCAACTATAATTGAAAAATAAAATCATGTATATTTGTGTATATATATACATATATGTATATATGACTTTTTGAGTTTAAAATCTAACTGGGAGTTGAAATTGAAAGTTTTGAGTGGAGTATAAACATCAAATATCAAAACATCTTTGTCAAAATTTATAAAAAATATTAGTGGCCTTGATTTTTATCTCTCTCCCTAGTGCTGATGTAGAAGGATTACTCCTATATTTGGGATCTCCTTCATCATAATCTAGTTTGTTTTTTTTAAAGAAAGTATTCCCTGATCATTATCAATCTCTTTAGTCCTCCATTTTAACCCCGATCCTTACTATAAAACTAATATTGTAAGTATATTTTTCAAATTGTTGCTCATTTGGTGCAAGATCATTATGTCAGTTGAAAGCTCAAAAGGATATTCTAAATAACAACTACCCAAGTTAAACTGTTAGTCAAAGCTAAGTGTTTTAATTACTGTAATAAGAAACATCCCATTCTACGAGAAGATTCTAGTCAGTTTAACTTACTAAATATTTGTTATATATATATATCTTCTCCTAAACACTTTGGGGATATAGCAATAAATGAAATTCAGAATCAGTCCTCAGCAAACTTGTGATCTATTAAGCACATGATGCTCATAAGACAAGCACACAAATAACTTTAATTACATGCAAAATGTATTAAATACAATGATTAAGGCGGGAAAGACTATAGTGATTCAAAAGGAGAGTTAATACATCTAGTTAGAGTCCTTAGGAAAAACTCCTTCTAAAGCAATGATTCTCAACCTTGGCTGCTCATTAGTATTACCCTGGGAGCTTTGAGAAACCTTGATGATCAGACTTTATCCTACACCAAATAAATCAGAATATCTCAGGCAAATGGCCTGAGCACCAAGATTTTTTAAAGTTCCCTAGGTGATTCCAATGTGTAGCCAAATTTGAGAACCATTGCTATAAAGGATAAGGTGAGGAAGAAATAATTAGGATAAAACAATGAGTAAGATTTCAATTGAAATGAGGCAGAATATTGGAGCACTCGGAAGTATCATCTCCTTATATAGTTAATTTATTTTTATTCTCCAAACCTCAGTTCAAGTATAACATTCTCTAAAAGGCTTTGCCTGACTCAACCAATGATAATAACAATATTAATAATGGTAATAAAAGTTGATACCTTTTTTTTATAGCTCTTGCTATATGGTAAGTGCCATTTTAAGCACTTTAAATACATTTCAATATTTAATCTTCCCAACACTAGAAGACAGAGAGCATTATTATTCCCATTTTACATGAAAGCAGGGTAAAGAACTTGGCAAGGTTACATAACTTAGAGTGGCAGAGCTGGGATTCAAATATAATAACTTAGAAATCCATGTTCTAAAACATGACCAACTGGAATTAGATGTTCCTTGTCAAGACTCTCATAGAAACCATGCATAATTCATTCATACCATGAATCATATTATATTGAAAATGTTTATTAGATTTTTCTCTTCTATTAATCGTTCATTTTTTTATTGATTCATCTATTCAACAAACAATTATTGAGCACATTCTCTGTGCTAGAAAATGTGCTTGCTACTAGAAATATAAAGTCCCCTATGTTATGCTGTATCTGTGAGGGAGTTTTAATTTAAAGCAGAGGTTAGCAAACTACAATTCACAGGCCAAATTCTGCTGGCCACCTGTTTTCAGAAATACATTTTTATTGAACCATAGTCATGCTCATTGGTTTATTATCTAGAGCTTCTTTTATGTTACAACATAAGAGTGGAATAGTTGTGATGAAGACCATCTAGTCTAAAATTTACTATCTAGTCCTTTAGAGAAAAAGTTTGCCAACCCCCAGTGTAGAGAATGAGGCAAATAAGGAAATCATCATTGATTAAAACAAAGTGCATGCTATGGTGCCCAAGATATTTTGGAAACATAAAAGAAATATCTAGGTTAAGTTAGAGGATACACTCAAGTTTTCCAAAGACATGATATTTGAACTAATTTTGTAAGGCTGAGCAGAATTAACTAGACAAGAAAAAAAAAAAAAAAGCAGCCAGACATCAATAAGACAGGGAAGTTAGTTGTGATTCAGAGAGCTAGAATAATGGCAATAAGAATAAAGTGGGTTGACATATTTAATATATATTAATTCATTCTACGTAATTTATAAAAATATATCTTTGATTTCTTCATCTTCACTATCTAGCATAGCTGGTTCTGCATATAGTTGGAACTCACTAAATATTGTTAATAGAAAATATTCAGTCCTAAGTAAAAAATGTTTGTTAAAAAGGGGAGAAAATATTTGCCTTTTATTAGTCTTTAAAATCATATACGAATTCTGATTTTTGATCCGTTACCCTAGAGAGAAAAAAATCTACCATTTTTTCATTGTTTTCAATTGTATAGATGTATATTTCTATTAGCAATGCAGTTTTACAAATGATAAACGGTTGCATATACTGTACCTGGAAAATTCATCGGCAGTTCAAATGGTTGTGGAGACTCACAACCTTCAATGTGCTCACAAATTTCAGCTATGATTTTCTTAATTTTGAGACCAGTAATTTTAATCACTTCTCCTGTTGACAAACAGCATTCATTTCCAAACATTTCATAGATAGAACCTGAAATAAAGAAGATTAAAAAGTTTCTTAAAATAATAATTAAATAATGAAGAATGAAGTGGAGTCAAAACCCTCATGTAAAATGTTTTTATTCAGTTCCTCTCTCAGCTACCTGCTAAGCAGGAATTAACCAAGCTTTGCAAAATGTACAGCATGTGCCAGAAAAAATGTTAGACTTTCTCTTCATCCACTGGGCAAAGTATGAATAATCTTATTTTTGTTGTTATTGTAAATTGAATTTATGGTTTCCTCTGTACCTTTAGCTCATCTTTCCAAAGTCGAACTACAAAGACGTCTTTCCTTACAAGGATTTATGATCTATTTTTTGCAGGGTCACAGAATTAGGCTCACATGAGTCAAGAATGATCTAAGTAAGTACTGCAAACAATGTTGTAATATAATCCAAGGTCTAAAGACAGAGGGTCTGCACACCAGAGCTCTATATCAAGAGCATCATATCTACTTCTTAGACCTGGTTCTCTGCATCTTTGTGAATATAAGACTTTTGTCCATTTTATCTCTTGATTCTGGGCAAGCTGAAAACTCTCTCAGTATCTTTATGGCAATAGGGGGCAGACCAGCCCAGATAAACTGAAAAGCTTCATTTTAGTTCAGGATTTCAGTCTCCTTCCTTTTTATCATAGATACAAAGCTAAGCTTTTCACTCATTTATTTTCCTTTTATACCTCCTGATGGAAGAAGAGCAATTAGTGAAATGACCAGAAGATGAACAACAGAAAAGAGAAGAGGCAAAAATTCTCGATAATCCACCCTTAGTTATAAGTGAGCAACCAAAAACTACATCTCTGGGATATTATCACTTGACAAATAAACAGTAAAGTAAAGGCTATATAAACAAACATTACAGAATTGTGGAGTTTGAAACATATCAAATTTGACTTACTTCTAATATGATTTATAACCTCTTTATCACACTAAAATGTGAATAATATAAGCATAAGAATTTAGGTTTGTTTTCTGAAATTTTTTTTCTATTGAACCCCCTCCTTATAGAATCTTGCCTGATACATAGCAGGCAACTAAAACATTTTTATAGAATTAATGGTTATCATAAAAGTTATTAAGCTTGACATTCAATCTGCTTTAAGCAACTCTACAATTGTATCAGGGTCTAAAAAGAGAGCAGAGCGAACACTCAAATTAGAATAATTTGAGGAGGTTTTGACAAATGGGCAATTTGCACAGAGGCACAGACAGTCCTAGGCAACACAAGAAAATAAATACCCTAATCTCTTTCTCTCTCCACTTGACTCTCTGGCAGGGCACCCCACTGGCCAAATTCAACCAGAAGCCAGACGGCAAGGGAGGTGCTGATTTCACATTCTCAAATAGAGAGTGGAAATGAACACCAAACTTACTGTTCATTACTTAATGAGGACCATTTTTACATACATACTAGTGTAACTGTTCCTCAAATTTAAAAATATATTTCTATAACTTCTTTTTTTTCTGATGTTCTTCCCTTAACTACATACGTATTTTTACTTTTCATTAGCTCCAAAACACAGCATTGTCAGTCATTACAAATCCTTTGAGAGCAAGTCGGGATATTAAAAAAATAATAAATCCATAGTGACAGTTTTCTCCAATGAACTCAGAATAGTTAATTTCTATGATCTTCATTTGGCAATTAATTGCATACTAACATTTTACATCTTTAGTAGTATCTCATCTTGTACTTAACTTTTTTATGACTTTAGTTTTTATTACTCCCAATGCAATTTTAAGCTTCATGAAAGAAAATATTGTATTATATTACTTCATAACTATAACACATCAACTTCCTTTCCTTATTCATTCAACAATCTTTAATTAAAACCTACTGTGTGTCTGGCATAGTGATTGGCAGTGGACACCGAAGATAAAATGAATAATCTTTTCCTCCCCAGAAGAACTGACTGGAAGGGAAAAGACAAGTAAGCAGGTATTGCAACAGATTATGAGAAAGTTATAATTTAGAAAATATAGGGCATTGTGGGAGATATTGGAGGCATTCAATTAAGAAATTACATGGGGAAGAGATTAGGGAAGGATCCCTGGAAGAGAAGACAGCTGAGCTGAGTTTTAAAGGAAGCATCACTAAATCTTAGGACAGGCAGAGGCATTATATTTTAAAAGGCACTAAGATATGAAAAAGCCTCATACATTCTGGAAATTTCAAGTAGTTTGTTATGTTTCAAATGTAAAGAAAGGGAAGTGGTAAGAAAGGAGATTAGAGAAGTAGAGGGAGCATAGATTTTCAGCATCTTTATAAAATTACCAACAAATGAAAAGGCCAATAAAAATCTGAAGCAACTACAAAGTCAGAGAATCTACATTTTCAATCTGGGAACTAATACCAATTTAATGAGAGGTCATATGTATCTAGGTGCTTGCTATCCAAAGTGTCATCTATGGCATCACCTGGGAGCTTGTTAGAATCCTGGCCAGACCACAAACCTGCTGAATCAGAACCTGTATTTTTAACAAGACCCCCAGATGATTCGTAAGTGCAATAATATTAGGAAAGCACTGGTCCAGGCAACAAATGTATAACTGAAATAGTCTCTGTTGTGAGATTGTTGCAAAACCAGAGAGAAGAACATGCCATACGGAGAAAACATTCCATTTCATTGAGGAGGATGGTGAAAGTGGGGACAAGGAAAGAGAAATATTTTAAGTACAAAAATGACATGGTAAGATTCTTCTTTGTCACATGAAACAGAACATAACTTAACCTATTCCATTTTAGCTGGTCTGCTGGGCTTAATTTCAATGCAATGGGTGTCTAATTGTAGATGTAACATAAACCAAACTGACTGACTTGGAATGCCATTTTTTCCAAAGGTTCCATTGGAATTCAAAATTAAAAGATGAATTTATGTGAGATTACACATCAATTCACAGGGAATAGAAGCCAGAGAATTCTACGAGGAGAAAATTCTATGTTTTAGTCACCATACAAAATGCTTTTGACTCTTCCGGTCTCTTTCCGAGTATCTTTCTCTTTTTGAAAAAAGAAAATCACTCCTTTCGGTCATGTAAAAAAAAATAACCTTAAGCAAATACTATTCTTTAACATTTATCTTTAATTCTTTGTGACCTAATTTTCTCTAACCAAGAAAGCTATTAATTCACTTTCAATAGAGTGGTCAGCAATGCCCAAGACTAGAAAGGTATTTCCATGATAGGTGACAAGAACATACAGCAAATCCTAAATCCCTTAAACGTAAAAGTTTCTTGTACTTTGTCATCAATATAATGTCTCAAAATATACTTTTTCCTCAGTGAAAATATAAAATGGCTAATATTAAAAATAGTCAACTTTCATAATCTTAAAACTAGCACATATAATGTATAAATTGCCTTTTAAAAATTCGCTGAGATGTGTGTCTGAACTGTGTTTGTGTATATACAGGTATTAAAATTGTTTTCATTTTAATAGGACATGTTCTAAATATGCAAATCTCAAATCTATTAAATCTTTACAGACTGATTCTTTCCAAGTCAGAGCATATGTATTCAGGATAGTGCCAAACATCAGAGAAAGCTGGAACAAAGCAGACTGTTTTCAGTGATCAAACATCGCCCCTGAAGGCTGTAATGAAAGAACCATGTGCCTTTGAAATCACCTTCTCTGTAATGCTACTTTGCCCAATAAAAACGACACATTAATATCCTTTTATGAGCTCATCCCTTATTTGACAATTCATATAAGCAATGCTGTGATCACATCAGAACAGCCAAAACAATTGGTTCAATAGATTTTCTTCCATTTCCTCTACATAGTTAGAAAGGCATGAGAGTCAGGAAAAAGGGTATTTACAACATTTAGAGATTTTTTTTCCCTTTATTCAAGATTATCCCATTCCATCAATTCCCCCATCTCCTTCCTCTGCTGTACAAGGCCACTCACTCATCCCCTTAACTCCTCATCAGCCTGTCAAAGTTTAACCAATCCTAAAGATTCAACTTCTTAAAAGCCTTCCTTGATCCCCATACCTAAATGAGAAATAATTCTTCCCTCTGCGTTCTTTATGTATAGCTCCATTATAGCCCCTATAGGATTATTATCACAGCCTGCTATTAGGGTAATATTTTCTGACCATTGATACTATGCATATTTTAGAATTCATTATGAGTTCCTAAAGAAGAGATATCTCTTAACTATATTTATACTAATCCTCATATATATACAACTAGTAATATAGTTTTGGTCACTTAGTAGATCCTTAGTGAATGTTGAATTATAACTTAGCTTAATTGTAAAATGACAATAAATTATTGTGAATATAGTAGTAGTCCTTCTACATTAGCAGTTTAAAGCATGGTCAATCCAAAGCTTTGGCATGGCTTATATCGCCATTTGGCATGCTTAATATCAAATGTACAAGCGTATGTGAGATTAGTTGGAAACCTTGTGAATTATCTAGACAAAAACATTAGGGTGGTAATTCTATAATATGAATTTCTATTTGTTAAGTTTGCCACTTTACCATTATGTTTACTATTTTTATATTGCTGGACTTCAGGATGAAAGGAAATAATAAAATAAAATGATCTGAGATAAGTTTGAGGAAGTTAAGAAATTACATGTGTGAAGTTTACTTGATATTGTATGACAGTATATAAAACCACATCAAATCAGGGTTGCTAGTGGAGATATATCTTTACTCCTCATAAGTAGGTATGATTATTCTTTAGAATAGAGTGTGAAAATAAGTAAGCATGAAACGACAAGCTTGCAGATGTACTAGAGGCAGATTCTACCAGTTAGATGTTGGATATACCATAGAGAGGTATATCTGAACAATGACAGGAAATGATCTTTCAAGGTCATAGAGACTCTCTTACTCCACTGCCAAAATATGAATATACAGACAGCAAAATATTGGCATTAGGATTAGGTAGTAAGAAAAATGATGACCACACTAAGAACTAAGGTGTAATCTCTCTTACATCTAAGAATATAAGGTTCTCTTTGTGAGTTGCAAGGTTAA